TGTTCAGTTAGCAGTCTGCATTGGTCTACCTCACCCTCCTCCTCTTTGTTGTCCTGTAGGGATTTTTGTCCGACGTGATGCACTAATCTGACAGGAGTCTCAAAGAGATCTTACAGCTGGTAAATATCCATGATTATCAGAAACAGAACTCTAATATTTACTGTTATAGAACCGTCCTATAGGCTTTCACCTGTGCTCTTTGGGCAGCCAGTCCTTCTGAAATAAGAAAAATCCCTTGGGCATTGTATATCTGTCACTGTGAATAAGTCTCACTGATGGTCACAGGCAGAGCTTTTTGGTGTTTTGTTGCTGTTTTTAAGTCGTGTGTGTATTAGGACCTGAAAATTGTGAAAAAGATGTGATGGCTTTTTTTTTTTTCCTAAATTAATGTGGGTAGATTTAAAAAATCACTTAATGTCCTTGTAGTCCTATACTTGGTGGTTTTTAAAGGCAATAATTATCCCAGGTTACTTATCATGATAGGTACATAAATCAGACATGACCTCACCTTGGTACTGAATTAAGACCGTGCTTGATTTATTTTAAAAATGTGCCAATAATTAGTTCTGAATATCTAATTTGGGACCTTCAGAGAATATCCTGTTGTTTCTAGTTGTTTCATCTGGGGTACTTACATGATCCTCTGGCAATCTGGAGCTCCGTTTGGGCAGGGCTGCTGGGAGTTGACAATGTACTTCTCCTTCATGCAGGCTTCAATGTATGTCACCAGCCGAGACTGTGTGAAAGAACACCAGTTCCTAATGGGGAAAAAGAGGAATTTCAAATAGGTCTTGTAAGTTTCTGCTTGTAGCAGTGTCACAGAAGGGTGAAATGTAGAGGAGTTTTGTTTTTTAGGCTGGATGATGAGGAAAGTGAAAAATGCTTGCTAGTTCACCCTTCTCCACCCCCCAGCCCCCTCCCCCCCGATTCTCTGTTCCTTTGTTTTCATTTGGGATGCTTATCAGAGTTTCTAACAGGAGGGTTGATTGTCTGAACTTTGACGCATTAGTTCCATTTCCAGCCTTTTCATTCAGCAGGAGAAATTTCCAACCCGCGATAACCTCCAGGTTAATGTTGCTTTAAATGTCAGACTGCCTGGATGGGCATGTTGCCATTTCAGATGCCTCACGATTGACTCATCAGGTCTGGACTGAGTGCTTCTGGAAAATTAATCCTACATAAACTCAGTTAAAATCGGTGTCTTCCAAAATGTTGCTACGTCTGATCAGTTATGGGGCCGTCTTGATTTTTGCATCCAACCCCTGGCTCCATCGGATCATCAGTTTTGTAGCCCTCCTTTGATGGTCCCTAAGGGGTTTATGTCCTCCTTATATTGCGGTGCCCAAACCTGCACACAGTGGTTGAGGTGAGGCTGCACCAGCGCAGAGTGGGGGAAAAAAAATGTGCAAACTTTGCTGGGTCAGAGAACCTGCAGGAAGATGAGATGTTAATAAACACCAGGTATCCCCTTAAAGCCTGGAGGGAAAATAGAAATAGTGTTTTGTGCCATTGTGTGTATTAGTAAACTCCTTTTCTGTAAGAAATCAACACTAGCTTTTCAAAACAAAAGCAGAATCAGGTTTTGGACAATGCCAGTTGTATCCATGGGGGTATTTGGAAGGATCAGGAGGTATTCCAAAGGTTTGTGTTAAAATGGAGCAGAGCATTGTGTAGGGGAGAGCTGTGCCTGATAAAGAACAGCTGAACTTTAGGCAGTATATTTTTAAATGGGAACACGGGAACTAAATCTCTGATAATCAGCATATATGGAAAATTTTGCCTTTCTTGTCTGAGTGCAGAAACAATGGGGAACCGACTTGAGCACGAAAGCAGAAGCTGTGGTTGTGGCAGCTGGGAGAGTAGTGGGGCAACCAGGAGAAGGGAAGGAAGCTGGAGAGGGAAAGCAGACAGCCTGGGCAAGCTGGGCGAGTTCCCCACACTCACTGCATCCAGCTTCACAGAATCACGGAATTGCCAGGGTTGGAAGGGACCTCAAGGATCATCAATCTCCAACCCCCCTGCCACATGCAGGGCCATCAACCATCCACCTAATGCTAGACCAGACTGCCCAGGGCCCCATCCAATCTGGCCTTGAACACCTCCTGGGATGGGGCAGAAGCTTCTCAAGGTACAGCATGGCTGAGATGCCAGCAAGCACAGCTGTGGGCAAAGCTGGTCAGTTCTTAGAGACAGGCACGAAAGCTGTGCAGAAGCAGTCTGCTGCCACTTTTCTTGTGGTTGCAAGCCAAAACAGCTGTCCCCTGCCATGTGCCCAGCAAGCCATCGCTGTGAGTGGCTTTTGCAGCTCAAATCCTGTCTGCTCTTATTTTTTTTTTCTTTTCCCAGCAAAATAACCTAGCTTGCACACGCTGCTAGACCAAGCAGGCACTGGTGCCAGGTGCAGGGCCTCAGACCTGCCCAGTGGGGTGCCTGCCAGATCCCAGCAAGGGTCCACGTCCCGTGTGGAAATCTCTTTTTCAATATGATTATTTTGCTTTCATGCTTTGTTCTTTCTTGATGAAAACAGCCCACGCCCCATGAATCATCATCTGTGCCGATTCGTTTTTCCCACTGCGCGTGGCTCCCAGACGAGTCCTTTTGGTCACATAAGCCTTACAAATCGAAACCAAATGTTTACGTGCACAAACGTGTGTGAGCAAGATGAGTGTTTTACTATTGCAGATATAAATGCACAAAGGCATTTAATAGAAAATAAGATTCTTTTCAAAACCTGCTGCCATGCTGCAGGTATCTGGTGGGCTTACTTCTAGGTTCTCATCCACAGAAGAGTGTTTTGTTGTGTCAGAAATTGACCCCAACCTGCTGCTTGGGTAATTATACATTATGTGGCACATATAATATGAAGCAAAAGGAATTTGACGTACTTAGCATAAAATCTGCCTTTAGTGGTAGTCACATTTCTGTGTGTTTGTTGTTTCTTTAGTATCTGCTTGCTAGTTTTCCCTGGCTCAGTGTAGAAGTTGATTCGTGAAGCTGAATGGCAATACCATATCATGCTTTCAATCATAACAATTTTTAGTGGATTTGAGTTGGATTCAATTTATCTAAATGTATTATTGCATCCAGTAAATATGTAAGGCCCGTTTTTCCTATCTGCAAAGAGCTGCAATATAGATACACGTGCCCAAAGGTGAAACCTCTATTGCAGTGTTTTTATATATCTTGTCAAATGCTTCCTTTAAGGAAACTTTGCTATCTATTACTAAAAATACTCCTTAATTGTATTAACCTTGAGGGAAAGACGTCATTCCTTAACATTAAAGTGGAGCGATTTAAAGACTTACAAAGGCTTGATCTGAAGTTCAGTGAGACGAGTGGGAATTCTGCACTGACACCAACAGGCTGTGAAGCCTCAGTGACTGCCCTTGCACAAAGAGAACTTCATTCGGCCTGTTTCTGGGACACAGAAGCTTTATGTTCTGCTTCTGTATTTTTTTCCCCCTTGTGATTGTGTAGCTTCACTCAGTGAGTATACCACCAGCTTTGCACTCTGCTTTCATCCTCTTTAATAGGGTTTCCTTTCAACTCCAGCCTCTGTGGCCAAGGAGAAGCTGTTTTGTGAGGAGAGCAGGAGAGCTTTATTTCTAGGGTGGGGAATGATGAAGCTTATAGCAAAACTGCAAGTTGGAGCAACACCGAAGTCAGCCCTAAAAAAACAGGGCTAAGGATGCTTGTTTTGATGCTAGGGATGGTTGGTTTTGCTGTTGTTGTTCTTGGATATTACACCTGCTTTTTCTGAAACACAGCAAAACACAAAGTTGTTTTGTTTGTGATGGCAGAATTCGGTCAGACATCCTGCTGTCACAGCAGCAGGACAGGAGGTAAAGCAAAGCAACCATAACTCTGTTACAACGAATACAGGGTTGGTTCTTTTCCATGCAGTGCTGCAACTGATAAGAGCAGCGTGATGGTAGATGAGAATAATGTCCCCTAGCACAGCCAGGTACTTCAGTTTGATTGGTGGTCTGCTGCTTGTCACTGTTATGCATCACTTTAGACAGTTGCTGTGTCAGTGGAATTTTTGCCTGAACAAAAGCTGCAGGATGTTGTTTTTCCATGAGTTTTGTTATTCCTTTGTCTGTGCTCATGCAGCAGAGCTGTCCTTCACATCAGTTTCCTCCTGTTTCTGTTCTCAAGGAAGGCAGTTCCTATAATTACTTTGAGAACTCCTGCCCAGCGGATCGTCACTATTACTGACAGAGCACAAGTCTCTTAATGCCCATAGCTCTTTCCTTTTCTGTACAATGCAAAAGGGACCAGATATGCAATTACTGCTGCTAAGATGTGCTACTAGATTACAACAGAAGGCTGTCTAGTTCTGGGCTCCCCAGTTCAAGAAAAAGGCAGGGAACCTCTGCAGAGAGGCCAGTGGAAGGTCAGGGAAGGGGTCTGCAGCATCTCCTGTACGAGGAAAGGCTGAGAGACCTGGGGCTGTTCAGCCTGGAGGAGAGAAGGCTGAGGGGGATCTTATCAGTGCTTGTGAGTACCTAATGGACAGCTGTCAAGTGGATGGGGCCAGGCTCTTTTCAGCAGTGCCCAACAACAGGACAAGGGGCAGTGGGCACAAATTGGAACACTGGAAGTTCCATACAGGCAGAAAGAAGAACTTCTTTACTGCCAGAGTGGCAGAGCAGTGGCACAGGCTGCCCAGAGAGGTGGTGGGCTGTCCTCCTCCAGAGATATTCAGGTCCCACCTGGAGGCTTCCCTGTGTGACCTGCTGTAGGGAACTTGCTTTAGCATGAGGATTGGACTCAATGGTCTCCGGAGATCCCTTCCAATCCCTACAATTCTTATTTCTGAGACTGGTCTCTGAATTTGAAGCTGTTTCCCACTAACTTGTATAGGCTCCTGACTTACTCCAGTTGAAGCAGGAAAAAAAACCAGGCTTTAGCAGTAGAATAATCTGTGTTCTGTTTTTCCCACAGTGCAAAGCACCGACAATTAAGAAGAGCACTCAGTTTAAAAAAAAAAAAAAAAAGGTAAAGTATTGCATTTAAATTAGTCTAAACTGGGACTGTGCATGTCAGTTTTAAGAAAGACTCATCAGTTAATTCACTGGGGAGCGCCAAAGGGATTAAGTACTTAAAAAGGTGCTGGCTCTCATAAGGAACAAGGTGTGCCCTTGTTTTTAATTAGCAGCTGATGTGTGATTGCTGGTGACCTGTCAGCACATCAGTGAATTCTCTGCTCTGCTGAGCAGGCAGCAGTGTGCATCAGGCAGGCAGCAGGAACTGCTTCTCCTGTTTCCCTCTTTCTCTGATTATGGCTAATGCTCCTCTTGGGCAGGAACTTTGTGCCTCATCCCTTGAGCATCACTGGTTCTCACTGGGATTTAATGAAGGTAGACTGATTGATTTGCAGTTAACCATAACAAGCTCAGCTGAAAGAGCAGCAGTGCCAAGCGTTTGGATTTCCTTGCAGTACTACAAGTCTCCCCAGTGTCCCGAGTTTATTCCAGCTGTAATGCCAGTCAGTATGCTTTCAGCTGTGGCCTGCCCTGCAGAATGCCTTGTGGCTGCAGTGCCACGATGGCTTTCTGAGTAAAACCAGTCCTGAACTTGGAGCCTCACAGCAAGCAGCGTTTCAGAGAAAGCAGACTTGGCTGCAGTGGCTTTTGAGGCAATCCCACTTGTTGTACAGCTACTGCAGAGAAATCTGTGCGAGAGTTTTACTCTCTTCACAAAGCATCCACAGCCATTTCCTTCCTTATGTTTTCCTCAGCACGGTGCAAGTTCTACAGCCTGCTCTGAGGGCAGCTTAAACTGGGATTTCATCTTCTGATTGTTGCAGATAAAAGCACACTCTCACTTCATCTTGAAGTGGGATTGCAGTTGGTGTTCCCTGCCAGCATAGCTGTGCTCGTGCCAGCCAGTCAAAGATGCAGAACAAGACAAGGCTCCCAAACTGTGTGTGCTCAGTGAGCAGCAAGGCTCATCCTGATCATCTTTTCTGCTCAGCAAAAGATTTCAGTTTGTTCAGGGCTGGCTGCTAAGGGCTGGTTTGAGGGTTGTTGACCCTCATCTGTAGGAAGGCCTTGGATTCTGTCACTACACTTAAAACAAGAGATCCCTTGCTATCTGCTGAAGGAAGAAATTGCTACAGCTTGCACTAATGAACCATGTAACAATGGAAATGAGAGAACCTTTTGTATGTGGAGGGCTAGATAACTACTGTACTGCTCTCAGAGAAGCTATGTTTCTGCCTATCAAATACACAAAAGGGGAGCTATTCCACCTGCAGCTGTGCAACTCAACAAGAGAGCTGAAGATTTCCAAAACTCAACAAGAGAGCTGAAGACTTCCAAAATTCCTGAAAAGAGCCAAGTGCCAAATTTTCATAGGAAAGCCACTGCTTCTGTTAGTGAACTTGGCACTACAAAAGCTATTGTTGAGCACTCTGGCCATTCCAGTAGTGTGCAGGATGTCAGGGGCTGAAGATCACATTAAGCTGCATTTAATCCAGAAGTTGCTTTATTTTAAGTCTGTGTTCTATTCCCCTTTGGTGGGAAATTTCGGTAACCCATAAACATCCTAAGAAAGTCCCTCTCTAATTTGGAAGAAATAGATGAGTCAGTGTGAAACTGATATTAATCAAATCAATGGATGTTTTCCTGTAAAAGCAGAAAAGGAGTTGTTAGGATTGGGCATTGTTTTGACTTTGCCTAGAATAAGAGCTATTTTAGTTTCCTCTGCTTCTTTGCATTCTGAAGGATGGATGCTCCCCCTCTGGGCACCCTGGCTGATCACAGAGACCTGCTCTGTGGCTGTGTCAGTGCAGGGCTAAAGGAAGAGGTGTGTGTTTCAGTGAGATAACAGCACTGCAGGCTGACATCAGGAAGCCTTCCTCCCATAAAGGGGTGACTTGACAGAACTGTGTATACAAACCTTGACATAAGTCAGCATGATTAAGGATCTACTTATTCTGCAGATTTTTGCCTTTTCTGTCAGGATTCAGATGTTTTTTTCATTAGGTTCCTTATTTTTTTTTTCCCCAAACATTTTAACTGTAAGAAAAATTGCAATAGATGAGAGATTGAGCATCTGGTTGTGGATAAAGGAGGACAGAGCACTGAAATACCTGCTGTGATGGAGATACAGTGCACAAAGGACAGGAGCTACCTGACAATGATTTCACTTTAGGAAAGAGGAGAAGTTCTATGACTTTGTCATAGAGAGGGAAGCCAGGTTTAGCTCCTCTGCTTATCCCCACCTCATCACCACTTCCATTTCTCCTTCACTGCATGAGCCATCCATTTGGGGATCAGCTCTATCAATGTGGTTACTGAGGGGTGAAGTCAAAAATAGCCTCTGCTTTTTTTTCTTTCTTTTCATGAGCTTATTTTTAACCTGGAACACTTAAGTGATCTAGTTTTCAGTATTACTTGAGAGGTCAGGCCAGCTGAGGATACAGGGAACTCTGGGCTTTGCTGCCCAAGCTAGCATGTGGTGGAACTGCACCTTTTAGATGCTTTGTTATTTTTTTTTTTTTAAAGAAATGTGAATATTGTGTGCATGGAATCTGAGTTGTCAGTGCAATTCTTTGTGGGGCTGCAGGCACAGGGATTGGATTAGAGCCTGCATGGGAATTGTGGGTATTATATACTGTATATTTATGAAATCTATAACTTGTTTTTGCTGTTCTTACTCTTCAGCTTCCGTGCCTAAAACAGATGCTAATGGACTATGGATATACCTGTGCTTCCATTCCCTTTTTACTTCTGCTGGTAAGTCTGTGCACTCATGGATCCATTTATATCAGCCATAAGGAAGCTTTGTCGTGTCAAACTGATCAATCACACAAGACATAGCTTCTGGGAAAAAGAAGGAAAACAGAAAGGTGGTTTCCTGTGCAAAATGAGCTGCTTTTGGTTTTGCAAATAGCACACACAAACACTTGCCAACTTCAAACAAGCACAGCTTCTCTGGTGTGCTCAGATACAAGCAATAGCTGAGATACCAGTCTCTTACCTAGCTCTTCCTTTAACAAACAGTTGAAACTGTTCTTTATTATCCACACATTTCTCATTAAAAACTGCCAGTGACCTTTTACTGATTTTCTTACTTTAAAACTCTGATTAGAATAACCTCGTTGCTCTGAGAGGAATTCATTAATAACATAACACATCCAAGCATTTGACTGGGCCTTCGTGAGTCATTTCACCTTACATGCTGAAACAGAACCCAGGAAACTCTGATTGCCTGGGGAGTATTAGTCATGATCATCTCCAATTCTTCAAATGACCATGAGAAAAATAATACTCATTTATTTTGAAAAGATCTAACAATGTTTTGCAACAATCATCATTTTTAACACATAAGAAAAACGGCAAGAGTTTGGGGGAAAAACTCTTTGCTAGAAAGGTATCATGGAGTTACCATGGACCAGTGGTTGGTTTCCATCACCCCAGAGCTTTTAGTGGTGTGTGTGGATCCCTTAGTTCCTCATAACTCCCAGTGCATTTTCCCTCGCTGTCCTTGCTGCTCTTTGCAGCAACACTAAGAATCTGGAGCAGAGGCACAAGCAGACCTGTGCTGTCTGTTAGTGTACGCACTCTCCCCACTCAATTTTGGGTACAACTCCTCTGAAAACGTTGAATTTCTTTCCTGAGATGTGCCACCTTGCTGGGCTAATTGTGATTGCTCCAGCAAAAGACCAAATACCCTGAAGCTACTGGCAGGCTAGATCTTGACTGCATGTAGTCATCAACGTTGCTTTATAATAGGGAAGAGCGTTGTGATTTGACTCATTATGCAACCATCTCCTTAAAAGGAGGAAGCATTTCTCTTCTTGGGAGGAAATTAGGATGAGTAACAGCTTGTGCCGAATGGCATTACACAAGTTGGTGCTGAACAAAGTCACACAGCAAAGGAAAAAGTCCTAATTAGGAGAGTATATCACAGTGCCTTGCTGACCTCTACAAGTACCTCTTTACACTTTTGAATTTTTGTAGCTTTTAGATTGCTATCAGCATTTCAACAAGCCATCAAATGCCTGTCACCTTGCAGCATAGCATGCGAGGCTATGGTAATGGTTCTGTTTTGCTTTCCTTGCTCTGCTAGAGTCTGAAATGCATTAACCAGCAGCTGGTGAATTGTGTGCCATTACTGAACACTGTCCAACAGAAAAGTGTAAGTCAGTACTTAGAAAATGATTGGAGGTTAGTGCTATGGCATACAGATTTGTGGGGAGAATGGAGTATGAAGGAAAACAGGGCTGTAAGCACTGCACTGTATTACATGCAGGATGAGGCCTTAATATTACAGGTAGATGAGATTTAGAAAGAAGATGGCATGCTTTTGATTGTGTGGAAAGCAATCGTGACATGAACGAGGTTTTACAGTCTTTCCAGCTCCCTCCTCTCCCTTCCCCAAGAACATTTGAAGAGAAGAATCAGAGCATCCTGAAGCAGTGAGCTGTGAACAGCACTCACTGTGCTGCTGTTCCAGCCGTCCTGAGCAGTAGCCTTCCATCAGTGCTATAAAAGATTCATTCCCTGTCCTGATGGTTTTCATCTATTTTAAACGTTCAGGGACCTACTTACATGCCCTGTAAGACTCACAAAACTCATAGTGTTTGGAAACCTTTCTGGTGAAGTACATGATTTATCTACTCTGAATGGGTACACAGCTAGAGATGATCATGAGAAGCATGTGAAAATCCTTTTTTTTCTCCTTTTTCTTTTGCTGGGAGGAAGGTTGAATTTGTAATATCATGCTTATTTATTATTCCTTTTATATTTACTCCTCACTGTTTCTGTTTTGCTGACATCCCACTCTTCTTTTTCTTGTCTTCCTCTTTCCCAAAGGCCCAGGTCTGAGCTGAGTATGTTCTCGTGATAAGCAAAGGTTGCCACAGTTGGTAAAAAAAAAAAAACCCTATTGGTGTGTGAAGAGAAAAAGTGAGTAATGAATTTTATCTAGTTCTGCTGTGCCTGAAGTAGTATTCTGTGTTACTGTGCTACAGGGGAGCTGCAGGGCTCTGCCCCATGTCTTAGCCATGCCAGGTGCATCCAGGCACCACATCCATCCTGCCATCTTAAGGATAAAGAGTCAGCCACGTCTGTGGTTTCATCCTTCACAAGCAATTATATTTCCTGTTCCTGTAGTTAAAACATTTGGATGTCTTCTCCTATTTGGATGAAGACTGATCCCTAAAATCTAATGTGTTTCAAAGAGAAACCTTTATCCATAATGGTCTTCCATCACGTTTATCATACGTGACCCCATCGTGAGCACAAACATGCATATTTGGGTACTTACCCATTTTGGGACGGCGGGCTGCCAGCTTCCAGCTGCTCTGTTTCTCCCTGGTGGTGTGGGTAGGCAATACTCACAGGGTATTCTGGCACATCTGCCCGGCGCCCTGCTGCCTCCCAGGAGCCCTCTTCCTCCTGCAGCAGAGCCCTCTTGGGGTGTGTGGGGGTCTGGTGGCTCTGTGCCTTTGAGCTGTGCATGGGAACATCGTGGTAGCCGTGATGGTCGATGTGCCGGGCCAGCTCAGCCAGTCCTATTGTGTTACAGATGAGCAAAACCTTCACTAGCATCGTGGGTTTTTTTTCCCACCTGATTACACCTGTCTCTTGTTCTCCTCTCCGGAGCGCAGCCTGGATTAGTGCTGGAATGCCCTGGTAATATTCTTTAAATGAAAAGTTGGAAGAAGGAAGGAAAAAAAAAAAAAGGTTTGTAACAAAGAGCGGAAAAAGCTTTCGACCCTCCCAGCCACTGTGGAAATGGCCATCAAACAATGTGAGCCCGGTTCCTGTGTGGAATGCCTCTAACAGAGGAGGGAAAAAAAAAAAAAGGTGGTAGGGATATAACTTATTCAAGGAACTTCTGAGTTTGGCTGCCTTCTAAACTTATCTGTGAACAGGAACTCGGCTTTTATCAGCTGCCTTCTCCCTCAGGCACAGGAAAAGGATGTTAGCGTTAAAGGAAAGGAAGAGAAAAGAAAGGAAAGAAAATACTGAGTGGTGTAACAGACTCTCATTACGGTGCCAGAAAAGCACAGAGCTGCTTGCTTCGGTGTCTGCAAACATTTACTTCTCCAGTTGAATGTCTGAAATGCCCTGGCTTTAGCAATTTTGGTACCTGCAACCAATTGTGGTCATTAACATCTTTGGAGTAAGTTCACAGTGGGGAAAAAAAGATCTTATGGACATCCATTTTTGTGTGGCCTCTGCAGAATTCAATGAATCTTATTCCATCCCCAGAAAAAGCTGCTACTTTTCGGCTTGGTTGTCATAAAGCAGAGTGCATTTCTTTCCTCCCTGCCTCACAGCGTGATGCACTCTGGCATCTTTAAGAATAAAATTAGAGTGGAATTACGCGTCCTGACAAAGCAGGTGTGGGTTCTGGTGCAGGAGTGCTGGAACATGTCTCAGAGTGATTGATGAGAAGCGTGGCCAAAGGCTCAGTCCGTCCTGCAGGCTATTAAATGTAAAGCTTTTCTGGAGTCATTCCAATGTCTGCTGAAAAATAAAGCAGGATAAAATCCCTCTAGGATTTTGGAAGGCCTTGTTATTGAGGACTTGGCTCTCCTTGTCATAGGTTAGATCTGGAGCCCCCTCCTCCTTCCTCTATGCATAATGGAAGAACCCAGAAATGTATGGAGACACCCTTAATGCTGACACTGCTGGGCAAGGGCAGGAACAGGAGCAAGGCAGGGAGAGATTCCTGTCTTTCTAAGGACAAAACCTGCTCCTGCTGCTGCAGTCACTTCTCCAGGGAGATGAAATCACAGACTCTGGACTTAAGACTGAGAGAAGTAAGCAACTTCCCCCTGTTCCTTCCTGCTGCCTTTATTACCTAATTGCACGCATCCTGCTAGAGCACAAGCTCGTGTTGGTGTGTGCGTATCTTATGTGCCCTTTTTCACATGCAAATGGCACTTTCTTATAACTAATGGATATGACCTAAGCATTGTGTTTGTTTACTTAGGACAGCCCATTGTAGGGAAGGAACTGAAATGAACGTGAGGCAAAACAAATAACAGGTGTAAAACCTGAACTGCTGTAGGATCGTGGCTTTGCAGAACGGTGGTTTTGTGCTGCTGAAGATGAGGATACCCCGTTTGTGACCCATTTTTAAACCCTTTGGTCCTGTCTTTCAACATCAGCCTTTCCAATTAATCACCCATGGCATCTTTCTTCTTCCAGGATGGGGTATCTCCAAAGCAGTGAGGCAATGCTTCTCTGCCACCCCAACTGAGAAGTCTGCTGCTCCTCTTGTGTGTGCGGCAGACTGCTCAGCTATTGTCATGTTAATCATTTAATGTCACTTTTGAGTAGCAGTTATGAAAGACATGAAAGTATTGAGCATGCTGGGGACTGACATCTCTGTCCTTGGATGGGTGTAGCATAGACACTGCCATGGATACATCTAAGGTGTGAATTATTCAAAGGACCCTCCTTATTAGACAACACTATGAAAGATATTTCTGTTGAATTATTAACTGCTGTGGCTTAGGATCCCTGAATAACACACTCAGATTATACTATTTGTTCCTAACAGTTGCTGGGCTATGACATAAGTTTTTTGGTTTAACTTCTGTAGGGGAGTGGATATGAGGAGTACCTGCTTAGGAGCACAATACGTCTCAACTTTGCCCATTTTTTGATCTGGTGCTGCAGCATGGAGTCATGGGAAACAGACACATAAGGCCATTTTCCATAACTATTTGCTCTTTGCTTTCTGAGGACAGTCTTTTCTAGGAGATACCTCCAGATGATGAGAAAGACAAACATGCACCAGCTAACATCAGTAGATGCCTATTCCATATTCAACTATCTGGAAGCTTGGTGTACTTTACATAGCTGGGTGCCACTGCTAGAGTGAAAGAAATAGATAAGATAATATATATATATAATTTGGAAGATGTTTTGGCATTAGGGGATGCTCAGTAAGTGACATGGTAGTTCAGTTCAGAGGTATTTGGAGCTGCCCAGAGAAGTTTTCAGCAGCCCTCAGATCAGCTAAGAAAAACAGACTTGCTCTGTGTTTTGACATCTAAATTTGACAGGCAAGATACCTGGTTTGTTCCTCCTGTCTTGGTCTCCAGTTGTTATTTCTTCCTTTCCTGTGCTCTTATTTGTGGAATTAATTTTCCCAGCATTTCTTAGAATATTTTCATCCATTTTCAGTCTCGGAATCATAGAATCACTGAGGTTGGAGAAGACCTCTAAGATCATTGTGTCCAGCCTTCGATCCATCCCCACCATGCCCACCAACCACATCCCTCAGTGCCACACCTCCTCACCTATTGAATGCCTCCAGGGACAGTAATTCCACCACCTCCCTGGGCAGCAGGTGCCAAGGCATCACCAGTTACTCCAGACTTATCCACGTACTCCATGAACTTGGTGATAACTGTCGTGACTACTCTTGCCTTGTCTGCTAATTATAACTGTTCACACTAAGCACAGCTCTTAACCCTCTCCCACAGTTCCTGCCCTGAGAGGCCAACATCCCATCTGCACCTTCAAACAGCCAAGATGTCAAACATCAGCACTGCCTTCTGGAGAACACACAGAAGAGGAAAATCCCATTTTTCCTCTTGGTAACTCTCTACTCTGCTCAGAGGACAAACCCTTGAGGCCGCAACCTAACAGGAGGCAGAACCAGCAGGTAAGCAGTGCCAAACATCATGCTGGAGAGATGGTTTGTGTTTGCTTGGAAAGCAATCATGCCAGTGATGCCTGGCAGCTTCCCTCTGGAGAAAAAGCAGCTAGAAATTAAATCTTCAATTTCAATTCAGATAATTTTTTTTTTGTTTTCTTCTGCATCTTCCCAGATTCACTGCTACACTGTAATGCCCTTAAGTCTATATTTTAATTTCAGAATCTAAATATTTAAAAAGAAAAGGAAAAACAAAAAAAAACAAAAAACAACAGTGCTGGGGGGAAAAAAAAACAGGCTTGAAAAGCCCAGAAAAAAAAACCTGGAATTGTTTTAATAAGCACTATAAGTTGCCTCGGGCTCATTTATTCCAGCCTGAAACCTTTGGAGCAGACTGAATAACCGAATGGATTTTCTGTCTGTGAAGATGAATAGAATAGCTTTGTTGATATCTTCCCAGCGAGGGGGGAGCCGCTGGGCAGCCACCACTGCCTTCAGGTCTGGAAAATGCTGCCTTATCCTCTGCCCACCCGCGTGCCCCAGCGATGCTACGTCCACAGGCAGGCTGGGAAGCCGGGCTTCTGTGGTCTGTGCTCAGGGGAGGAAGCCACATTCTTGCTGAGAACGTGTTTATCATTCTGCTTGGAGCCCAGCAGTGGTGCTCAGCAGCAGAGATCCACCACCAAAGCCGGCTGCAGGCCATCCTGCCAGCTGCTGTGTGTGCTTTCTGAAGGCTCCTCCGCCAGCCTTACCAGAGGAAATCTCCCATTAGCCACGCAGACCTGTGCCCGGGGTGAGAGTCCTCACTGTGTGCCTGGAGGATGGCAGGCAGAGCAGCTTGTTTTCTTTCAAGCATGAAAATGAGCATGAATCTGAGACAGCTCTCCTTTCCGCGTTCTGAAGTATTCATAAACGGAGAGAGGATTTCTGTTTATATAGAGCAAGGTCTGATCCTGTTATTGTTAGCATTATTCTCCCTGCTAAAACTTCCCAAACAAAGGATATGCACCAGCCACAAAGCAGCCCATCTTTCAGACGCCGTATGCTTCCAAAATACTTCAATAGATGACCAAACCCCATTCCTTTCCAGCAGTGAGATGCTTTTGACAGCTGATGGCCAGCAGCCTGAGCTCATGGCCGAGGACAAGGTTAAGGTGCTGTGTGCACAGTAATTGGCAGTGCGGAGAGCCAGAGGGAAGAGGGAATAATTAACTGAAATCCTGTTTCAGTTGGTTGTAGTCACGAAGAAAAAAATAGGCAGAAGGGGACAGGGAGTCTTGTTTTTGATTTTCTTTTGCATTGCTTGATTTCCTTTGCATCTGCTTTAGGGAATGGTAGGCTCGAGTTCGACCTGTCTTGTATATACTGCAGAGTCACTGTGGGACAGCACACACACTGCAGCCATCAGCCGTGGGGAGGGGTGGAGGGCCTCCTGGTTTAGTGGCTTCTCCTGTGCATCCCAGGGCATCTGAGGGACCAAAAGGGGCTGCCAGCAGGCCAGCTGCCAGGCCAGCCTTGGCCCCCTGTTCTGCCCTTTGGAGGAACAACTCCGTTCCTCATTAAGGTGTCGTATTTACTACAGTGGGAAAATTCTTCTTCAGACCTCACCCACTGCCGAGTTCCCCCGAGGCAGGGCTGGCAACAAATAAGCACTAGATCCTCAGGTCAGAGTAGGAGGGTACAGATGCCATGAGGTGGCTAGCATTCAGGAGCTCTTATTGATTCTTGCCCTACGTAGGTCACTTACAACGTTGTCTTGAGTCCAGAGCTTTCCTAAAAGGGTTTCAAGGTAAAACAATGTCTGTGCAAACTGCTGGCTGTCTTGGGAGGGATCCAGAGAGCTTTAAATGTCTCTTGTGAGTTCTGTCTGAAGGTCATGGGGAGGGGAGAGCACAGGAAAGGAGTATCCCTCTTGAGCACCGGTTGATGCACTCGAGTGATGACTCATCTCCCACACTGCAGGATGGCTTGATGCTCCTCACATTTGTTAACTTCTACAACAATGCAAAATATGCAGCATTTAATTACCTGAGTTACAATGGCAGGATGATAGCTCAACAAAATCAAAGAATACTTCTCACAGCCTTCTCAGGCTGGATGTTCCCATGAAGTGTCTGGAAAACCCTCTGCTTTGCCTTAATGCCCTTTGAAAGCCTTGAGGAGAAGTAAATTGGCCCCAAGGATGGACAATTTCATTTTTTACCAAATGCAGTAAAAACCTGGCACCTGCCCTGTGCCTAATGCAACCATATGCCATACTCAGCCTCCTGCAGTGTGATGCAGGAGGGCACACACGTCTCACATTTGTGAACGCTGGGCCCTGTGGGTTGTGGCAGTCAGCTGCCAAAAGGATGCTCAGGAGGACGGAAAGAAAAGCTGTTCTCAGTGTTATGGCAGTCTAGAAGACTGAGAGCACTTATGTTGTAATGGCCATTCTTTGAATATTACACTTTTTTTTTTTTTTTTTTTTTGGACTAACAATCGATACATTTTGTAGTCTGTAAGAGATTTAGCTCTTCCACATTCAAATGGGAATTTGTGGTTCATTTATTGGCAAGGAGAACCACTGGTGAGGAAAAGACTAATAAATCTTTACCTTATTTTCCACATCAACAGTCTTGCCGTTATTTCAGCATGGAGCAGGAAAACACTTCCCAAACCCACATAAATCTTCTGACTTCAGCAGTAAGAGGGCAGTCTGTGTGCTGCCCGTGCCATGGCTGCAGCCTTGGAGCTTCCCTCTCTGCCTGCCAGGTGAGCAGGGGCGGCTGCAGTGGGCTGGGTTGGTGCACACAGGGATACTTCATGGCTTCCCCAGGTAGGGCACCAGAAACAAAACACTACTGTGTTGTACCAGCACTTGTTTCTGTTGGGTTTCTGGTTTCTGTCTGGGAGCAGCAGAGAAGCTAATCTGGGCTACTTAGGGTCTATTCCAGAAAGAATCGAACTCAAGGTAAATTACTAAGCACATCCAGATGTGATTAATGATCTGTGTTTCAGTACTTTTTCCTGGAGAGGCATTGAGGCCAGGTGGGTCACCAGCTCAAGGCTTCCACCATCAGTCCTCCCACTGATATTCTTCTGCAGTGGCTCAGCCTGGAAAAAAATAGAAGCAAGATTTCCCCTACAGCCATCGCGTTTTTAACCATTCTCATAAAATTGGAGAATGGCCTGGGTTGAAAAGGAATACAGTGCTCATCTAGTTTCAATCCCCTGCTATGTTGCCAACCAGCAGACCAGGCTGCCCAGAGCCATATCCAGCCTGGCCTTGAATGCCTGCAGGGGCAGCCACAACCTCCTTGGGCAACCTGTTTCAGTGCCTCACCACCCTCTGAGTGAAAAATTTCCTCCTAATATCTAACCTAAGCCTCCCCTGTCTCAGTTTAAAGCTATTATGATGGGTGTGTAGTCAAGTCCAAACTGTGATTTGTACTTGATGCCTGGGGGGACCACCTTCAGACATGTCAGACGTGGCTGGTGGGCTTTCCAGCTCCCTGTCCTTGGGCACCATCTGCTCCCCTTCTCAGTCAGTGCTTATGAGAAATCACATTTTTGTTACTGCTTTGTGTGGGATGCATGCTGTTTACAGCTAACCCAGAGAGCTGTCTCTGTCGGGTTTATTACCAGCACTTCACATGCTTTTCTCCTCCCGGGGACCCTGAGGAGCCTGTGCTTGCTGCAGCCCTGGGCAGAGGTGCTTTCAGGAACTCAGCTCTTTGGATGAAACATCTCCTTTTCACTTGAGAGCATCCTTGAGCGAGAGCACCGCAGCGCCTTTTAAAAGCTTTCTCTACCTGGAGGATTTCCAGAAAGTCTCTTACGTACCTCTGTCCTCCTCCTCTCCCCCTCCCTCCTTAAATCTTACCAGGCAGATCCATATCATTAATATTTCAGTACCAGCTGTTTGCAGGCATTGGCTACTCTGCAGTGCACTTAATCAATAAGAGCCAGAGAAGGCTGCAAGGTTTGTCTCACCATCCTCCTCCAGCAGAGGAACTGGAGAAGACACAGAGCCTGGCAGGGGAGGCAAGATCTAACAAGGGCAGGGCTGCTGACTGCAGGACCCCTCCCAAGGAGCTGCTTGCTGCTGCCCTAAACCCAGCTGCTACCCAGGGCAGCCAGAAGGATGGATGTCTTTAAGAAAGGGTTTTCCATCGCTAAAGAAGGTGTGGTGGCTGCTGCAGAAAAAACCAAGCAGGGAGTGACAGAGGCTGCAGAGAAGACTAAAGAAGGTGTGATGTACGTAGGTAAGAGAGCTGTTTTCAATTTGCTTTTGAGTATGGACTGCCGCATAAATTGTCTCGGAGAAAGTCTGGTGACACGGGTTGTGTAGTGGAGCTGAGAAGTGAATGGTGGGAGGTCTGGGTGATGTCCCTGGCACTGAGCTGCATAACCCTGGGATGCTGCAGCCATCCTGTGCCTCAGTTTCCCCAGCTGGGAGCCAGGCATAGAACCTGCTGCTGCCTGGGGACATGACAGCAGTGTGGCGCGAAACAGCAGATGTGTGACAGGCAGGTCTGTGCTGGGTGCTGGGTGCCTGTATGGTGTGTGACTGGCAGGTCTGTGCCTGCATGGAGCAGCTTGCCCTCCCCACGCTGCCATCCCGCTGCACCCAGGTGTGAGGTGTGTGCTGGCTGGCCCATGCCAGCAGCTCACCGTGTCAGGAGTGGGGCTGGAGGATGCACCTGTACCCACAAACACGCTCTTTGATCCTGAAATCCTTCTCTGTTTCATTGCCTGTATGCACATCAATCTCACTTCACTAGAGATACCCACATTCATTGTGCCCCATGGGCAGGTTCTGAGAATCAGCACGACTCCTTCCCAGCCCAGAAATCCTTCAGTTACCATCACATCTCAAAGCCTCTCTGCTCAAGGTCACCCCCAATACCTGGTTCCTGCACTGTCAGGTGCATGAGAGTACATGTTGGGATGGTCAGATGCTCCAGGTACCATCCATCCGCAGAGCCTGCTTCCCAGGCCTGCTCACCCTGGTGCCAACAGCAGCACCTGGCACAGCTTTCCTGTCCTCCAGATGTGGGGGGGTCGGGCAGTGGGAAAGTGAGCAGGCTCCTCTGTTACCATACCCACAGCTGCTGTATTTAAAACAGCTATATTGGCAATAGCTGTACGTGTAGAGACAGATTTAAATTGGAGATGAAATAAATACAAAATTTATGTGCAGCAGCCCTGGTTATGTCTTCATCCTGAATTTTTAAACGCTCAGCTCATGGCATGCTGCAAATGAACGCACGTAGCAGCTCACATTTCAGTTTGAAGCTGACTCACAAGCAAAAGGCACACAGCATCCCTCTACGTAATTGAGGCAGCCACAAGAGCCTGGAAATGGCTGTGTGAGCCAGCCTGTGGTGTTGCTCCTGCTCACTGCTCTGAGTGATGCTAGGAAGGAAACTTCCAAATTTGTGTACTGAATTCCTCGCGTCTCCTTTGGGCAGTGCTCCGCATCTCCACGCTCTGACCTGGTTTTCATTTTCTCCTGGCTGTGGGGAGAGATGCAGAGCCCGCTCAGGAGATTTGAGCTCCTTACTACAGTTTCTAAAGGCTTTACAACTCAAATCGTGAAATGAGGACCGAGCGGAGGCAGAGATGACGAGAGGATTGGTACAGCCCCAGTTCTGCCCTGCCACACGCCCTGCGGTGGGTCTTTCAGGGACACGAGGAGCGGCGGCAGGCGCTGGGAGCGCTCACACGGGCCGCGGACCGACGAGCGAAAGGCGGCGGAGCGGCGCGGACGGCTCTGACGGCTCCGACGCAGCAGACGCGGCTGCCGGGCGGGGCCGGGCTGAGTCAGCGGGTGCGGCCGCTCCGAGCTGCTCGTGCGGGGCGTTTCCTCTGCAGGGCGGCTCCGAGCCGCCGGCCGTGCCACCCCGTGCACCGGAACGCGGCCCCGCCGGCGGCTGAAATCGAAGCCCGTCGGTCGGTACGCGGCAGCGCGGTTCTCCGCTCAGTCTGGAGCATGCACAACCGAGACGTGCCTCTGCTCTGCACGCACTTTATCGTATGCAATGCACGCACGTGGAGGTGTGCAAGGCCGGGTTGGATGAGCCCCGGGCAGCCTGGTCTGGTATTAAATGTGGAAGTTGGTGGCCCTGCCTGTGGTGGGGGGGTTGGAGCTTCATGATCCTTGAGGTCCCTTCCAACCCAAGCCATTCTGTGATTACCTCCAGTCGACTCTTTTTTTCATTTGGGAAATACCATTAATTTATGCTTGAACACTGATGGACAGCTTGTTCCTTCTTGTTCCCTCTCACAGGTACCAAAACCAAGGAAGGCGTAGTGCAGAGTGTGACCTCAGGTAAGCGCACCGCCCCGAGGGAGATGCAGATACCTGTCCTGTATTGCACAGCCCCATCTCTTCTGCCACATGGGGGATCCCTGGGGAATATGCGGGTCTGTGTGACCATCACATAGTCCACACCAGTGAACAGAGGAGCAATGGGTTGGGTCTGACACTTGCAGCACTCTTGGATGAGAGCAGGTCAAAAACAACCAGCAGATGTTACCTGGCAGACACGGCTGGTTTACAGCAGTTGTGCATTTCACAGAGACAAGTGTCCCAACATGCATGCCTGCACCAGTCCTGCTGGGCACAGCCATTGCCTGGGTGACTCCTGCTGGTCTCAGGGGACCCTTCTGGGAGTCCCAGGCAGCAAGCCGTCTGCTCTGCTTTGCAAGGAGAGCAACAAATACTTTCTTTGTCCATGTTCTGTGGCCAAATTACTGTTTTCTACCGGCTGCATTACATCAAACAAATGAAGAGTGCCCATGGAGAGGCGCACACACCCTGCAGCACAAATACCTCATTTGCTTGACTGTCTCTTAATATCTTACACTGAGTTTTTCAGTCTCCAATTGCACGTGAAGGCTGAGTGGCTTAAGTACTTGCATTCCCCTGAGCAGCATTTCAGATGAGTTAAAGCCCTTACCTACATGATCTAAATTCACGTGTTCTCATAGTAAAAAACAAACAAACAAAAAAACACGTAAAGACTTTAACAGGGCCGACTTTCTCCCTCATCTTAGTGCAACCATCTTATTGTGCCTTGCTTTAGCAGCCTCTGACAGCAGTGAGCTGACTGACTTTCTGTTGTTGAAATCCCAGTTGCTGAGAAGACCAAGGAGCAGGCCAACGTGGTGGGAGAGGCAGTGGTAGCCAGCGTGAACACGGTGGCCAGCAAGACAGTAGAAGGAGCAGAGACCATCGTGGCCACTACAGGAGTTGTAAAAAAGGTACGTTTGTGCCTTCGGTGGCCTGCGGGACAGAGCTCGTCTTTGGATTATGCTTTAAATATCTGCAACTGTTTACAATTGGTGGTTTCACAGTAGGAAGCTCTGAGCTGGTTCAAGTGTGGAATTGAAGGCTGTGTGCCGGAGCAGGACGGCTCCTCAGGGAAGGCCTTTCTGCCTGTTAGACAGGACTCTTCCCAAGGGATAATGAGCAGCAGCAGCAGCTTTGTGTGTGAGGCTGGCTGGAGGTCTGGTGTGGGCAGCTTCTTGCTGAGCCCGCTTGTTTTTACCCTCTTTTGAGAGCTGTGGTGAATAGCGCTGGTAGTGAGGCAAGCCAGGTTAGTCACAGAGCACCCAAACCCAGAATCAAAGCAAAGCAAGGCTGGCCAAAATGGGTTTAATTGTTCAGACGGTTGGCTGATGAATTTCCTGGCCTGAAAGTAAACCCATTGTGATGTGAAACAAAACTTCCACACACCGCGTAAATCCTGAGAAAATAGCCCAACAAAAATGGTTCTGAGTGACACAAAACATCCCCCTGAAAGCATGCAGAAAGGGCTCACATAGGACAAGTGCTGAGCCCTGGGGACATAGTTAATCTCTGTTGTGCCAGGGAATGCTGGTAAGGCTGCAGCTATGCATGCAGTGGTCCCCATAGGCAGGGAGTGATGAGCCTTGAGTACCTTTGTGCGACCCAGGAGAGGGAAGGACTGGCTGGCAGCATGAACCTGCTGCCCTGACAGTGAGCTGCTGGTCTGGCCAAGAAACTGGGGCTGGGCAGCAGCAGAGCTCTGTTTGCTAATGGAAATGTGGCCAGGAACTGCCCCTCACAGCACTGGGCTCTGTAGTGTGTTTGGGAGACCCGCTGGAAAAAAGAAAATCTTTTGACAGCATGTGAGGGGTCTGTCTG